GTATATAGTCATTATACTCTTGCTTCGCTAAAATTGGCACTTGGATTTTCTGCTTTTTTTTACTTTATTCTTAAGCTTTGAAAAAATTAAAAAAAAAAAAAAATTTAAAAGAAAAAAAGAAAAAAAGAAAAGGAAAGGAAAGAGAGAGAGAGAGAGCCAAAGATTGGAACAGACATAATAATTAATAGAATTCACGATTCGCGAAAAAAGTCTGTTCTTTTTTTACTTCGTGTTAAATATTACACAATGACGTAGATGATAAGATACTACGTATATATATATACATATACGTACACGTGTATATATCTGAAAATCGATGATAAAGTGTGAATCATTTTTCGAAATCTTCCGTCGATTCAATGACCTGAAAGTGATTATTTCGTGATCGTTTAAAGAAATGGAATAAAAAGATAAATATATTACTTTTTTTTTTGTTAAATTCGTGTAGAAAAACAAATAAATAGAGAAGCATGACAATACCGAATAAAGAATGATTTATAAAGGAATGAAAATGAGATTATGTTCTTTCAATGACGAATGAAACATAATAGAGGAAAAGTTTTTTAAAAATTGATAAAAGTTGGCAATATCGAAAAATACGATTTTAGGAAACAAAAATTTAAAAAAAGATAAAAAATAAAAAGGTAAGAGACTGATCTAAGTATCTTGGAATTTTGATTAATCTTAAATTGATCACGCGATCTTCGATTTTGAATATATTCGACGATATCAAAATGCGTGTTTATAAATTGCACATGATTGATGCATGTGTTTTGTAATTTCGATCATTCAAATAAATTCGATATCAAATGTTTTGAGAAATCAAATTTGTAACGATACAATAAGGTAATAAGGAAAAAAATGTAGGAGGCGATAGAAATGAAATTCTTTTCATTTGAAGCGTTTTAACAACGGAAGTGATAATATACAAACAATTAAACTTAATCATTACGAATTATCAAATGCATTGTTAAGAGCACTTACTTCGCTATGACGTTATCTTCTATACAGATATCATTTATTCCAATAGTTTTGAGCTTATATACTGAGCTTCAAATATTTATGCAAGTCCGAAAGAACTAATAAATGAGATAATCTCTAATGTACTATTCTCAACTGATATTCTGTTCTCATTTCATGCATATTCCATTGAGTATTTAGATCCATTGAACGTATATACTCTCACGTTTGAAATGTGGCGCAATTTAGAAGCGCATTTATTGCATCGTTTACTTAAGTTGCACTTGAATTTTACAATTTTCTATGTATCGAGTGTTTCTTAATTCAGTCTCTTCAAGCATTGTTTCTGCTTTGATTCGATTATGATTTTACACTCTTGATTGATATTATTTGATACACACGTTGATTATGTCAATAACAAAAATAAATATGTAGAATTTCGTAAGAAATTAATCAAAGAAACGGAGAGAATATTATTTAAATAATTGATTTAAATCTTCTTTTTTCTTGGATTACTATTTTACTATTTTATTATTTTTCCTTTTTTAAAACTTACTACTTACGTCATAGGAATGTTTTAAAATTTAGTATATATAATGATATATATATATATATATACTAAATAATTTCATTTGCTCTATAATCAACGCGCGAATGATGAAAATACAAAAAATCAAAGTTGGAATATTTACTAATTATATTTATTAATCTAAATACGAACATTTTACTGAACCATCGTACACCGAAGTGGATATGTATGGCACAGTATGACAATATTAAAAAAATTTTTTGAAAACTTTTTTCTCTCTTTTACGCGTTTTCTTTTTATTCTACGCATTGTATAATACCTGTTGCATATAATTATATTCATTATTTTTCCATGATTCTCTGGTTTTATTGTAAAAAATGATGAAGTGTAATGAGAGTAAAAAGAAACGCATGAATTAATATTTCATAATTTTTATTACATTTTTTTTTTCTTTCGTAAATGCAGGGGGAAAAGAGTGAGCAAAGATAAAATTACCTATCAATTATATATCTATATAAAGAAAAAAAAAAAAAAAGGAACGTAATCCAAATTAACAACGAATAGTTCCTATATGTTTTAATAACTAAAAACCATATCTATTTCGATATTAGCATTTTTACAATTTTCATTTATTTCCGTGAACTCACACACGAATAGGTCTTATAATGCTAATATATGTATATGTATATATATATATTTATTTATTTACTCATATAGACATATTTCTATATATAAAAATAGGTTAAATTAATTTATCTTGAATATGTTTTTTTTATGTGAGATTTGCATTTTTTAAATTCGTTGCAGTCAGTAGAAAATACTTGTCAACACTGTGCCATGCATACTCCTGTAGCGCTCAGTTAATCTTTTTTTCTTACAACAAAACTATTTAACATTTTAAAACTTTTATTACTTTTGTCTTTCTCTTCTCTTTAACCCCATCAAATGCATTCATAAATCGATGTTTCCAGATATCTATACACTTTCTTCTCATTAATGTTGTGGATAAGTATAAATATAATACATAAAAAGAGCAAATACATTGCACAGAGAGTTTTAAGAAGAGTAAACAATGAATCTATAAAATATCTAATAACAAATTTAGAATTTTTCTTATTCTTTGCTCAAAAACTTTTCAAAAAGATAAGAAATAACGAATTATACCAATTATCAATTTATAAACAAATTATACTTGTTGTGTATAAACATAATTAATATTTTAAAATGTTCTAATAAAAAATTATATTAGAGATATGTCTTTTTAAAATATAAGTAATGAGTTAAATTATAATGGTTTAAAATCCATCATAAATGGAACGCTAATCATTTATCAGTATTTATTTTTTAAGATATAATAATATTTTTCAGCAAATTATAAATAATGTAAGGAATTCGGATAGAAAAAAAAAAAAGAAAACTCAAAGCGCAAATAACGATGTACGATAAAATTTCAGTAAAAATATAACAAGGATTTCATTCAAGGCAAGCTTAACTATCCTTCACTATTAATCGACAAATTATTAAAAAAGAGTTGTAATAATATTTGGACGTTTTAATATTCAATTTTAATGTTCTAACAATTCTCAAAATATGTTTCTATAAACCTAAATGAATATATTAAAGAAGAAACATAAAACTCATATAATATTTAAACGAAACAGATCAAATCAAAGAGTTCATTTTTTAATTAATTAAATTTATATCTATATAAGAAAAAAATGATTATAAAATAATTTTTAAATTGAAACTATAATATTTTTGCATATTAAAACAATCACTACATGGAAGAAGAAAGTTTAAATATATATTTTATAAGAGTGTAAAACCCTATATACCAATATTTAAATTCCTAAGATCGTCAATATCATACAAATTTCATTCACATAAATGGCGATGTATACGCAATATATTGAATTAATACGTGCCAAATTCTCTTTCTTTATATTATTCTTTCTCGATTCCTTCACTTTTTATCACAAAGCACTCGCAATTATCTGCAAATCCTTATTGAATGTGAAACAAAAACACGAAATAAAAACACTTATCTCGTATACAAATATAAAAGGCAACTGCGTGTCGATTTGAAAAGAGAGAAAAAAAAAGAAAAAAAAAGAAGAAGAAGAAGAAGAAGAAATTAAAGGCAATGGTATAAAAGGACACGTTCAAAATTACATTTAAAATTCATCCAATATGCTTATGCATTCGATTTCAAAAATAACATAGTAAACAGATAAAAAGATATTTTAGAAACTTTAACATTGTAAACTTTCGTTACACATTCGATGGAAAACATTAGCTTGATTAACATCGTTTTTCGTTTTTTTCATTTTATTTCTCTAACAAAGAATTCGCGTTATATCTACCTAACTATTCGAACAATAATGATAGCAGTAGCATCAATAATTATATTAGTATTTATCGTCAATAATAATATTAATTACACGAAGAAGATATTCATACGCGTAATAAATTGGCGCACACTGTACAACATATTATATACTATATATTTATCGCCGACGACGACTATTAATAATAATTACTATATGAAACTTATTTATTTTAATATTTCGATTTTATTGTTTTACTTTTTCTTATTTTAATTATATATATATATATTAACATATATATATATATATATATATATATGTATGTATGTATTATTTTTTTGTATTTTTATTTTGCTGCGTATGAAATGTTTGATCATATCGATGATGGCGCTGAGCATTCTTTCTTTCAGTGACTAATAAGATTTTTGAAATCGTATAAAATGGATCTACCCTAGCATACGATATACACAACCGGAACCATTACGAGCGATCGCGTGATTTGAAAGGGGCAAGGTCCATTTTGTTTTCACTTTTCATTCTTTAACTTCACTTCTGTTTCTTCCAAAGTGAAAAATATGCAATATGCAAACTGTATTAACTGCACAGTGATTCGCTTTGTTACATCACTTTATGGCAGATAAATCTAAAAATTTTTTAATGTATTCTCATTTTTCATTTTTTTGTTTATTACGTTTTTTTTCACTTTTAACTTTTTTTAAATTTTATTTTAATTGTTGCAAGATTGATTCCCAAATTGTGCCATTTTTTTTGTTTGATTTAGTAAAGATATAACGATTATATTTACGACATACAGTGCGGGCCGAGTGGTGAAGAAAAAAAAAAAGAGAACGAAGAAGTAACAAAGAATCGTTTCAGATTTGCAAAGCATAAATGGTCTCTCTCTCTTAGCAGAAAAATTAATAATTCATTTGTTTCTAATTCTAACGAGACTCTTTGAACAAACATAAAATAAAAAGAAAAGAAAAGAAAAGAAAAAAAAAAAGAAAAGAAAAAAAAAGAACAAAAAGAAAGAAATTGGCGACGAGTAGCAGATCTTATGTACGATTCGCGGCAGTTTATGGACAGTCTGTGCTAGTCTTTTTCTTTTTCCTGCCGGCAGAAAAAAGAAATATAGTCTTTTCCGGACGTGGCACATGATAAGCCCTTACTAACTTTTGGACCCTCTTCTCGCATTCGCATTGTTATTTTTTTTTTATTTTTTTTTTTAATTTTTTTTTAATCTAATGTATTCTTAAACTGGACGACACACTTGGACGTGCGCACGGTAAGTAACTAATTATATAAAGTTAATTACTGCTTTCTCAATTGTCTTCTTTCTTCATTTTTTCCTATTATTCTTTTTTTTTTTTTTTTATTTCCTCGTAGGAGGTCAGAGTTCTCGAAGAAATACGTCCCTATGTATTTCAGTTCGAGCGTTTATGTCTAGCTTTTCGCGAATGCCCTTTTTCTCATTGTTTTCTCTCTCTCTTCGGATGGACTTTTATTTCATTCCTTTTTTTTTTTTTTCCCCGTTTCCTTTTTTCCCCCGAAACGTACCGATTGTCGTTAAAAAGCCCCTTTATCGATGTAGTTACCATTGGTCGAAGTAGCACGCAAGCGCGTCACGACGATCGCTCGCGATCACACAAAAGCGCAAGTCGAAGAGATCATCACAGTCGCGCGCACAAATCAATTATAGAAGAGAAATCTTCGACTTTCGCAATTTTAACAACAGCATGAAGATTCTTGTTTGTTGCAACCCCGGCTCAGACAGTACTTGACTTTGTTTTCGACGACAGAACCAGGAACCATATGGACCGTTTAGATCAGCCTTGGAACATGCCGAGAAAATGCAAATTCTGCGACAACGAAGACAGTAACGTACCGACAATTGAGAAAAGGTTGAATATAAGAGGCGGCCTTTTCAGTTTGTGTCAGTAGTGCAAACTGTCCATCTCCTTAATTTCGTTGCTACCGTTAGCGTTACTGCTGCTTGTCATCCCACCGCCACAGTTTTGCGTATCGTACTCCAATACTAGCCGTTTAATGTGACTTAGCTTCTCGTGCAGATAATGAAATCGACGTTTTATTCTTTATGTACAGGGTCCCGTTTAGTTTCGTTATAGTCGTGCAAAATTTGCCGCCTTACTTCCTATAAAATACAATATAAAAAAATAATTAAAATCTTTAATAGTATAAAAAAAAAAAATGACTTATTGTATGTTATTTACATAAATACAGTACCTCGTACTCTTCCCAGTTCCCAGAGGCTTCTTCTTGTTTCAAACGTTCTTGGAGCTGCGTAAACCGTTTAGATACATTTGCTACTTGAGCATGTAACCGTCGATACTCTTCATAATCAGCATTAAATTCTGCTTTATAACGTCTTCTCTGTTCTGAACTACTTATTGTCGTGTAATACCTATAAGCAATTTGTTAAATAAGTTATTTATATGTATATATATATATTTATATAGAATAACATTTTTATATTTTGTTCAATGATATACAACAAACTTCATTGAGAAAGATATGGAATTTCTTCATTTCTTTATTTTATCTTCATTATTATATATATTAATGCAAATTTGTATATTAACATTTAAACCGTTAATTTATAATATTTTAAAGTCTTTAGAAAAAAAATACTAAATAATTAGATTATTAAAATAATCATTTGCAGTAAAATTTTCTTTTATCTGATTAAATCTGAATAAATTACATTACATCTTTTTATAATGTATAATGTATAAATTGTTACGATAATAATATATATTAAAATATATTTATTTTTTAATAATAATAATGAAGACAATAATGAGCTTTTTATTTTTATGAATATCATTGAACCATTTTATTAATTTTTAAAATGTTTACGTGAGGTAATCCGGATATTCCGATGACTTAGGGCTTTCAGGCAATTCAAGAGCACAAGAAGATGTACTGACAGTATTATCCTCGGTAGCGGTGTAATTAGAAGCAGATAAGTCATTATAGGAGTTACCACCTGTCCCGTTGCTCTTCTTCCTCGAGTCACGATCCCTTTCGCTAGCGCGGCTCCTGTCATTCCTATCGCTTCTGTCTCTCCTATCAGCGAGTATTCCGTTCGAACTACCACTAAAATTACTTGCACTACCACCATCACTCACGACACTTGGCATAAGACGCGCCACATAATCCGTCCCAGAATTCCCGTCGGTAGCGAGTATCGCCGTTTTGCCGGTATGATGACGATTGCCGCTCAAAGAATTACTATGGGCTACACTATGAGAATTATGGCCAGTGGCCGAATTGCTAGCTGTGTTGTTTCCGGATGAACCGGTGCTCGTAATGATTCCGTGACCAGTTTGATTGATTTCTTCACTGTCACTGGTTGGTGTCAAGCACGGTTTCCCAGTGCTGTAGCTGCTGCTTCGTAGCACGTCACTATTCGCTGTTCTTTCGGGCCGATAATCGCCACGACGAATATCACGTTGATGTTGTCTCTGATCCCAACCATCAACCACACCACCGCTGTTACTACTATTGCCACCGTTAGCACTAGTACTACCAGCTCCAGAAACAACACTAACACTGTTATTACTATTACCACTACCAGCCGTCCTTCCGTTCTCTCCCGTGATCGACGATCCAGAATTTTGTTCCGACTTCTTATAATGGGATATCCGTGGTCTCTTTGTCGGCAGTCCGTCATTTCCCTGATAATATCCTGGTCGCTTATTATTCAACAAAGATGGAGGTGGTGCTGTGATTGCAGGCGGTGAACCCGGATGAGTGGAATTCGGCGATTGTCCGCTGCCTGCAATGATTATTTCATGATGATATATATTATTTGTCATTTTATTTATTAGATATAGATATAGATCAATATAAGGAAAAATTATTATAAATTTATTTGTGTTGAAACAATTTAATATCGTTATTTTTAAATGTTCAAGAATAGTTGTAGAAATTTCATTTTTTTCAATTAATATGAAAAATCCCAAATTTCTCTTATTGATAAAATTCAGAATAAGGTGGAATTCATAAAAATTGAATTACATTATATTATCACTTACCACTTGATCCACCATCACTGGAACCAGGAGGCGTAAGATTTTGAGGTTTTCTCCTTTTCAACATTGCCTTTTCCTGTTCGGTGTAATAAGGCCAGTCTTCTTGCACATCATTCCAAACATATCTGTGCAAATGATACGTATTGTCCCTCATAAAAGCAACTTGCTTCAAGATTGTCGTCATGATATTACGCTCTCGTTCTTTTAAACCCTCTAAAAATGAAATATAAATCAAATAATTTTTTTGAATATCTTATAAATATATTAAAGTTCTTTATATATATATATATATATATATATCTTTACCTCTATTTATACGATCATACAGTTCAGGTTTTTTGTATGGCCTCAAAGCAAGAAGATGGATAAGTCTTTCTCTGTAAACAAAATAAGTTTAAGTATAAATATATTAGCTTTATCAATGAATCAACTATTTATCAATAAATTTAATATAACTTTCTCTAACGTTATTTTTTCCATTAAGTATCAATAAAAACAAAATCTCAATAAAAAAAATATATTATTTTTCATTAATCATAATCTTATCATCATATTAATATAATGATTTTCTTTTTCTAAATTTTTTATATTTAATAAAAAAACGATAAAAAACAATAATAAAATTATTTTCCAATATTTCAAAATTAATTAGTTAAAGAGCTATACAATTTATATAATTATAATTAATTATATAAATTACTTATACAATAATGCAAGTACTCGACATGTATTGTAATTAATAAGAAAAATACAAGATATAAAAATATTTTATATTTTATAAGTTGCTTATTATCTATCTGAGTATCTAATTTTATCAAAAATATGAACGATAAAGTATTACACGTTTTTCTGAACTTACTTTAATGGTCTGCGCATAATGTCGGGGATTTTTTTCTCCGGTTGACTTCGAGCTGCTGTTGGATTAGCCGGTTTGTAAGAGGAAGACGACAGTCTAGCCTGACTTCCAGAAGTTGGAATGCTCGTTGATTCCCTGTGTCTTGAATTTGATGATGATGGTATGATAGGTTTTCCAGTCGATTTTACCTTCACCTTGCGACCAATGTCCGGTCCATTTGGTTTAATAACTCTAGTACTAATCGACATAATTATAATTGTAATACGTAAAAGATGATAAAAAAATAATGATAAGGCGATGGTAAATATAAAATATTGTATTTCACTCTTGTATTTTCACAAAATGGAAAATATGCTGACACGTCTGCACGCACTGACGAACCGAATGAAAATGGTGTCCCAACTAGACATGACCAGGAAAAACCCCTATTTCGTTTTCCGACTGCGACCTCTAGCTTCAGGAAAAATCATAAATACTTGCTAATATTCTAAAAATCGTATACCTGAGTACTTACTACCTGAGAGATTTTATATGCAGAATATTTCACATCAAGTGCCATAACTGTTTTTCATAATGGCTTGCTTATTCAGAATATGCCAAAAATATGAGAAAGATGAGAAAAGGATAATGGATTAGAAAGTTACATTATTTGAAATTTTTAACTATATTTCATCAATTTAATCATTGAATTTGAATTATTTAATTAATTATTAAGAATGAATATATTTGAATTATCTATTAATTTCTATAAATAATAAGATTTTTAAGGTTTTAATTATTATGTCTCTATTATAAATTATCTAATATTATAAAATATGTAATATTATATATTTTATTATTATTTGCAATAAAAAATTTAAAGCATAAAAGATTGGGAAAAAATAATAAAAATATCAGTTTCTTTCAATAAATGAATGAATTACTATTTTTTAAAATATTGGACGATATTTCTGATAGTTTTACATTATTTTCCTATAATTTGCATGATTTAACAAGTTGAGAAAATGATTGATAGTACCCTACGACGTGAATGAACTAGTTCTCTTCTATATTAAATATTCATAATAGAAAGTGCTATATGTGAAACTATGCGAGCATATCAGTCTACGGTTGTTAGGCAAAAGAGAACAAAAATAATGATCATTACCGTCTACGTTTTTTTTTTATTCTGTCATTTTCCAGTTTAAAATTACTATATGTCTTCGTTATTGACGATTCTTAAAATATTTTCTTATATAAATTAGACAGCAAAAGAATTAAACATGATACATGAAGAGAAAAATTTTATGATAATTTATCATATTGATACACATTTAAACATTTTTGTATCGCTTAAAAGGATTAACTAACTGATTTAAAAAATTATCATATTTAATTTGCGAGTGTATTATAATTTTTTTTTATTAAACTAAATAATACTTTTCTTTTATTCTGCAATGAAGAAATTAAGAAATTTTTTTTAAACATTAAAAAATTAACTTTGATTTATAATTAATTAAAAAAAAATATATATATATTATTAATTAAAAAAAAATAATAAATCAATCTTCATTATTTAAAAAAAAATTCTGTATTCTTTATCTATGATTACAATAAAATTATTTTTATTTTATTCCATCTCTACTTTTCGATAGTTTAATTAAATCTAACGTCATTTATCGAAATTCTTGTTGACGCCAATTCTCTTTAACAAATGTTAATCCACAGAAATTCTAGGAGAAAAGTAATTAATCAATTCTCCTTTTTGACGCAAGCAGCAGCTTTGACCGAAGCCCATTATCGCTTTTGTTATTACACACACAATATTACGTAACCGGTGCTGCTGTCTAGATGATATTATCACTTGATGACTTATAGATGACGCGACTAGTACAATGTACTTCACAAAATAACATCAATGGAATTTTTAACTTTATCGCATTCTTCGTTTCTTTCTTATCTATGCTCCTAACTGAAATTTGCTGTTCTTATTACGTAATCTATTTGTATGAACATATTATAATGCATTTTGTCTACGGCGCAAAAGCGATGGACACCAAAGATTCTGGAATGAAGTTGCACTTGTGGGGCATTCTTAACCTTGACCGTTATGCTATTAAACAAATTAACTAACCTCTCGATATTCATCCATTGACTTACAATCATGACAATCTTTTGTCTCTCGTTATTTAAACTAAATAACATCTTTTTACGATAAAGATATTTTTATTGAATATGAATAACAAAATGTTTTATTTCACTTTGTTAGGTTAAGTGCTCGAATATGTATAAATATATGTACAAGTCAATGTATCTCTAACCATAACTCCAAAATTAATTTTTTGCATCCACAATTCAATGAACATCAGGTAGGCAATATTGCAGGTAAACAAATTTGACCAAAGGATTATAATATCTTCATAAATCCCCATAAATTTATGAGCGACAAAATGCAAAATGCTTTGATATATGACAAATCATTCGAAATAGAAAAATTAAATATAAAGAGGAGAGAATGTATGGGCGAGATAATGAAAGTATTGGAGAAAAATTCGAACATAAATGAAGCCGAACGTTTTCGTGTCTTTTCAAGGAGTGACTTACCATTTGTTCTTATTATTCTCTTCGGCGACAGCCATGCGATGCCTGGTTGTCTCGTACACATCGTCGTTCGCCTGTATCCGCATTTTACACGGCAATGCGCCAAGACTCTCCAGGCTTCTGCACAGGAAAAATGGAACGCTATAAAGAGACCGATAAATCGCTAGAGCAGGTCGGCGCCATTTTTTCTTTTTTGCCACGTCGATTCTGGCATCTTGAAAATTTAGAGCACGTTTAAGAGACGTAATATGGTAGATTCGAGTATTTGAAATTGATTTTATTCCCCAGAGGATATCGTTTACGATAAAATTCAAGAACGATGTGATTGTTTTTCTTTTCTCTTTTCGTAATTTAAGGTTATGTAATTCCTTTTTTCCTTCAAAATTAGAAATAATTAAATTAGAAATTTTATTTTTTTACGCATTTCGTACTGTATAAATGGAAAAAGTTACGAAATGAAAGAAAATAATCCAAATTTTTTTCATTAAGAATTTACTTTTAATTAAATAATAAATAAATAGTATTATCGAACTATTCGTTATGATAAAATTAGAAAATTCAATATCAAAAAAGACACATAGATATAATAATATAAGTTACTTACTTAGGGCCTGTTTGTTGGATGCATTCGAAACCACCCTGAGGACCCTCAATGTCTTGATTGCCAGAAAGGCTAAACGTAAAGCCTGCTGATCCATGGCTGGATTGCGTAGATGGGAAGGACAATTGCTGGAATCAAAAAAAATACATAGGTTATTCGTGTGCCTTCATCCTGATAATAAGGTCGCATTAAATTACGAAACAGCTTTATGATCTAGTAGTAGATACGCACTTGGCGTATATTATACACGACACGACCAACCATATTCTCATATTCTTTATACCTAGTGGCAGTTACCTATATCTGCCAGGTATATAAAGCTGGTATATAAAAACATATGTATCTCTACTTGCCTATCTATCTATCTGTTTATCTATCTGTCTGAGACGTTAAGTAGGATCCGTAAGTAAGATCTAATGTTCCTCCTCCTCGAGGTTACATTTTATACGCTGGTCCTGTTGTCATTACTCGCATTACGCTCTTTGATGTAGTATCGCATGATTGTTATTTCCTCTTTGTTCAACGAGAAAAATTCTTCGATATAATAGGATCAAAACATAAATCAATACATAACCTAAAAAATATAACAAGTTGTAATTGTACATGAATTCTATTAATAACTTGTTGTAATTCAATACACGATTGAATACAAAGCAATTTCGAGAGATTTCCCATTGAAACTAGTTTTCTCATCATCCCGTTAAATGGACGGAACAGTGGACATTAAATTATTGACTCTTACGATTCAATTCCGGACATTGTTTGGTTATCTTTTAACGCGTTCTCGTGCGATCATAATTCCGTCGGATAACAAAGGCGCGCTCTGTCCGCGGTTATCTATGCAATATAATTTCAAGCTCATTCAACCTTGCAACGAGCACGCGTGCGGATGCATTTATTCGACGGCGAAATTAATCTCGATAAACGGCATGGAACGGCACGAACGTAAACGAAACGGCCGTAGAGTTTGGTGGATTAACGTGTTATGCGTGTAATCTTACCGTCGCTTGCTATTCATCAATTACGATCATCGTTCGTTCAACAAAATAACACAATCGTTATTTGACGACCCGATCATCGGTCGGTATTTCAGATCGTTATCGATACATTATTCCCGATTGGTTACGAAAAATGAGCAGAAAGAAAAGAATTGGAGAAATATTTCTCGCGCAATGATTAGGAATTTTATTTATTTTTATTTAAAATTATGCATGCATACGATGAAACGAAAGAAATAATTCTCAAGTGTGTTAATTAAATTTGCTCGGTATTATTGGCACGACGTAATTCGATTGAAATCAACAACTTTGACTATATATATATATATGTACGACGAAATTATTATTAATTAAATGATCATTAAAAATGTAGATATCGATGTAGATATGTTTATCGATCGCAAATATTTTGTATTTCATAAATGATGCTTAATAAGTCGGGAAATAACGCGCAATGTTGGTAATCAATGATAATTATATTCATAGAATTAACAAGTTTACTTTTGTATATGATTACCAATATCGTAAATCTAATTAGAAACTGCTGCGTAATGAAAGTGTTAATAGATAGAATGGTATATCAACAAATAGATTGTATTTAACGAATACAATTATAATTCTTACTACTAATGTTTAGTAAATTATTTATACGTTTAAATATATATGTATAAAGAAGAGCATATATTACTATTTGCTATAGACAATAATAGACAATAATAAACAATAATAAATATTGAAGTTTTTTT